GTCATTTTCAAAATCGACCCTCCCCCCTTTATGTTCTGAGTCCCCTTTGTGTAAAAAAAGTGATGCCCTCTTCTTGGATTTCTGTTACGGCCCCACAGCTGGCATCAGTCTCCTACAGGAGCTGCTGGGGTGGCCAGAGCCAGCTGGACCCTGCTGTGTGGGCTGGGGAAGAGCACAGTTCTACCCAGTGACTTACAGACCCTAAGTGAAGGGTGAGTTTGTGTTTAACATTTTCTGTTTTCTTTTTAAAATGTAATCGCCCTTGAATGCAAGACCCTGGGAAGAGCCCTGGGCTGGCAGGTAATGACAGCCTTCACATCCCCATCAAGCTGGAGGTGGAGAGCTGGCAGCTGTGCCCAGGAAGTGCTTCTTTGGCTGTTTCTGATTGTGTTTGGAGTTTGGCCTTGGGTGAGGCCCGAGCAAGGGGTCTGGGTGCTACAATGTGGCACATGGCATGCGGGCAGCGTGCATGCGAGGGTGCAAGCATGCGAGACAACATTGGCAGCAGACGAAAGTAATGAACCCTGGACAAAGCTTGAGAAGAAATACAAAGAGTACATAAACCCGGTCCTCATACTAACCCTCGGGTTACAAACTATGTTGTGCTGTGTAGATCTGTAGAAAATCGTGATTGGAAAGAATGGCACTGGTTAGGCAGCCAGGGGCTCCCAGACTGGCCTGAGTCCTCTGTTCTTAGAGATGGCCCAGAGGCACAGAGCAGCCTGGCTTCCAGGCTCCCAGGGGACTGACAGGCTCTTCCCTGTCCCCTGCCCTCCTACCCCCAGCACTGGGTGCTCAATGGAGGGGACACAGCCCAGGCATGGGCTGTGGCTTGCAGGGCTGGCAGAGGCCCACTTCTTGAGATGCCAGTGGCATGGCTGGTCTATGCCTCCTCTTCCCCTGCAGATACCATCAGCCGCATGGCCACGGGGAGGTGGTCGGTCAGGCCAGAGAGCTGGGTGATAAAACTGAATTCTTCCACCTCCTAGGTTGTGGGAAAGGAATGGGAAACAGAATATTCTGATTAGATCCAGAGAGAGGGTGCTCTGTAAAGGGGGGTTTGGGGGGCAGGAAATGACAATCTGGGGTGGGAGGTTCCAGATGGGGGGGCCGACTGGGCTAGGGTACAGAGGGTATGTGGAGGGTTTCAGGTTGTAAAAGTGATGGCTCTCATTTTAAGGGAGCAGGGACTAGGGTCTGGGTTCAAAGTCTACTCGGGGCTACAAGGCCCAGCCTCAGACTCACAGCCTTCCAGTCAGGGCACAGCCCCTCCTCAGCGTGCAGCATGTAGTCGATGCGCCGGCCATTGCCCTTCAGCAGATCCTTCCGCCCCTTCTGCCCAGCCCCTGGGCTCTTGCTGGTAGGGAAGGCCAGATACTCCCTGCGGCCTTCCTCACTCTCCAAAACCCTGTTAGGCAGAAAGGAAACAAGGCAAAGTCTTCGGCCAGCCCTGGCCTGTGGAGCCATCTTCTCCACAACATAAGAGGGAAAGGGAGACCAAACCTGGGTTTAAGATCTGCCTGTGTGGCTCCACAGAGGGCCTAGCTAGAAGGAGGAGTTCCTAGTGAGCAGAGCACTTCCATGATCAGTCAGAGGCGACTCCACCTTGGGCTAGCTAACCAGTTCCCATATTTCCCTTTCTGTACTCGGATACTGGTCATGGCATTCCTGGCTGTGGCCATGTTGGGAATGCACCTCTTCTGCTCTCTTCTTCCATGTTTGAGCCTTAGAGACCTTCTTCCCTGGAAGCTCCATCACTATTGAAGATTGGCAGGGCTAAGAGAACCAAGAGAGTACTACATTGGAGGTCTGTTATTTATGGGTCTGTCCTTAAGCAGCGATGTGATCCAGCTTGTGCTATCATCTGAGTGCTGTTTCCTTCGTAAAATGAGTGGTCGATGTGGCCCCTGACTTGGGGGAAATGGGTTATTGTCCCATTTCTCAGAGTCATCCCAAGAGACTCACAGGGGGCCCTAAATACCCAACATAATTCTTGTTAGCCTTCCCGGAGAGCCCAAGTAACCCTGGGAGAGCCGAGGAACCCTGTAGGCCACCTTTCCCCAGTTACTGAGAGCAGGCTCAGGCCAGGAGCTGCCATGAGAGACACTGCCCAGGCCCCCAGGTGGTTAGCGCCGGAGAGATTTAGTGTCTGGAGAGACCAGGATGGCAAACATGGTTTTCTACAGGTTTTTATCAGCCTTAAGATAAATACACTAATGACATTCAGAGCGTTGTTAATGGCTCAGAGATATAATCCATTACTGTCTGTTGCTTTGATAATTAATTCCAGCATCAATGATCTGAGAGTTACTGGTAGTCATTTTTTAATCATCATCTCATGAAAAGATAATTTTCTCTGCATAGGATGATGTTTCAAATTTAGTCTATAATCTAATTAATTGGCTCAAATTAGCTGCAAGGAGCCATGGCAGTGGCTCTGCAGTCTCGGGCTGTGAATTATAAATCCATTCTGCTATTGGCCTTTCCACTGGTCCTTTATGGAAGCCTCGCTGGGTTCAAGGATGAAGCTGGCCTGGGGTAGAGCTGCCTTTGAAGACAGTCAGCCTGTGTCCCCTCACCTTCTAATTGCTGGATAGAGGCCATGGGCTCCCTCCTCTTCCACAGACCCCCTACCCAGCAGCTCGCTAGGCCTTGACCCTTGACCTGAGCCTGGAAATTCTGGCTTCTTTTCCTGTGTAAACTGTACTCAACAAGAGCCTTTTTCAAAGTGAGTCTAGATCCTGACTGCTGGTTTAGGATTTGTCCCTTCCAGACTCCATGAGCCTCTGAAATGTCTAGAATATGAAGATGATGACAGCCTCCATCCAGCTGTCCTCTCCTGTGTAAGAGCTTCCTGACAACACAGAAGTCCTCAGTGGCTCGAGTGAGTCGGCCCTGCTGGAACCTGCCCAGTCCCCATCTCTACAACCTCATAAGGGCTCGGTGCCTCCTGAAGGCCTGGGAGCTTGTTCGGACCAGGGGTCCCTGTCAGCCTGCAGTAGTGTGGGCCGGGCACTCACTTTTGAAGATTGTCAGGGGTACACACATCCTCATCATAGAGACCGCTTGTGTCCAGCAGGGTTCCTGGGGGCAAAAGAGGAGAGTGCTGACTGAGGCAGGGTCCAGCCAGCCTGAAGGGTGGCCCCCACGGAAAGATTAGGGAGACACCAGGGCTTGGGGGGCCTCCAGACAGCTGCCTAGGGCATGTCCCCTTCATCAGGAATCAGGTTCTGATGGCCTCTTGGGAAGTCCCTGGTGAGCTCAGGCCCTGCTTACCAATGGCCCACGGCTTCTCCTCCCCAGGCCCCAGGCGGCAGGGGTCCTTGTAGCGAGTAAACAAGGAGTGCTGCTGCTCCAGTTTGTCATCTGTGGGGGAATGAAGAGAGGGGTGCTGGGTGGCAGCCACCTGGCCTGGTCCGTGCCAGGTACGCCTACCATGTGCCACTATGTTCCTGTCTCTTTGGTAAGCACTCTGGGTTTATGGTTCTTTTGATGGTCCTGTGGTCAAATGTCTCTGGTTCTCTGTGCCCTCGGGATGTGCCCCAACACTGATCTCTGTCCTCTAAGCCTTCCCAGATTCCATGGCAAACTGGGTAAGGACGGATGCTGCTGCAGCTTAGACCCGCTCTCCTCACAGATCTGGCTGCTTGGCCCTTCGGAGGAGGGGCCACCACATGGCTCCTGCCTGCTCACTGCACCAGGACAGTTTGACCCCTGAGCTGGAGGAAGAGGACTGGGTTAGGGCTTCCTGGTGGGATCTTCTCCAAAAGCCTCTTCCTGTGTGTGTTGTGCCAAGAGTGTCATGGCCAGAACAGAAAGACTGTGCTGGGCAGAAGCTGGTGTGTTGAATTTGACAGCCTTGCTATCCCACACAGCTGGAGAGGAAAATCATCTGTGTTGGTGACTGTGTGTTCCACGCTGGGCACTGCATTCTCCTTGCCCGTGCTGGCACTGCATTCTCCTTGCCCGTGCTGGAACTGCCATTCTTGTCAGAAATGCCTCTCTGGCCATGAAAGGTTAAAACAGCTTTTACTGTCTGCCATCAGGTGAGGGTACCATTGTGGACTCTAGGTAAGACCTTGAGATTTCCTGTTCTGAGGGTGAGGCCTGGACTCAAGGCTCCAGGTTCCACCCTACCCATAGTCTCTTGCAGGAGCTGTGGCTCCTGGAGGAGTGTTAGAACCTTGAAGCTCCCAGGCCAAGGAAGGCTCAGAACTACTCCTACCCCAAAGGAGGTCTTCATAAGTGCAGATTCAGATCTGTTTAAAACTTCACAGATGATTGGCTTTTAGTCTTCTACCTAAAAAGGTTTGTTTGCCTGTGTCTGAGACAAAGACTCATGTATCCCTGGCTGGCCTAGAAGTCACTGTATAAACCAAGCTGGTCTCATACTTGCAGCAGGCCTGTCTGCCTCCCGAGTGCTGAGACTGCAGACATGGGCCACCATTTAGTTTTATTTCATGTGTATGATTGTTTTGTCTGCATGTACATTTGTGTACCACTGTGCCTTCAGAGGCCAAAAGAGGTCATTGGATCCCTGAAACTGGAATTACAGACAGTTGTGAACTACCATGTGGGTGGCAGGCATGGAATATGGATCCTCTGCAAGAGCAGCCAGTGCTCTTAACCCCTGAGCCACCATGGAGCCATCTTCCTGGCCCAGTTTAAGCCAGTGTTATTAGAAGTTTCTCCCTTGTCCTGGGTTCATTTTTAGGGTCTCTCTTTCTCCAGCTAGAGGCCTCTGTGCTTGTTTTGGCAGTGTACGGGTTGGTCCATGCTAGGACTTGAGTGTGGGGCAGACGCATCAGTCTTGCTAAATTTCCTACACACTCATGAGGAACTGGTAGTTCTTCAAACTACCCAGCTATACTCTGTGACTGCCTGGAGCTTCACACCTGACAGGGGAGGAGTGTGGCCTCACCAGAAGAACAGTTATCAAAGTTCAGATCTCCACAGATGACGTCAAACACCACCAGCTCCTCCGGGTTGGCTGTGCTGGACGAGGAGGTAGATTTTCGGAAGTCAGCCAGCCAGTCCTGAAGCAGGTCCAGCTGCTCACACCGGATGGCACTGTCCTCTGCAGACAGGACAAGAGACCAGACTATGAAGCTTGACCTGGACCCCAGCCAAGGCCCAGGTGTTGAACCCATCCCCAGAAAACCCCAGGCTGTGGCCTACCTGGTGGGGCATGCAGGTGTGTGCAGGCGATGTACCCAACAATTCTTTGGTCCTGAGGTGTGCTTCCCACCTGCACCTGGGGGAAAGCAGCAGGGTGTCAGTGTTGCTGCCAGCCAAGCATGGCTGCTCCAGGTGCAAAGGGACCCTGGCAACATCTAGAGCCCTCTGCTCAAGCTCTCTCCATCCTGCTCTGTGCCAGGCTCCTGACTAGACTCAGGCCCAGGTAGAGATAGGGCATTCCCTGTCTAGAAGTATCTGGCTGGTTCTAGAAGCAGATATGTAAAGAAAACATCAGCCTACAATGTTACATTGTTGGCCATAGTCTATGCAAGGCTTTATGGAGCAGAAACAAGTCACAGGCAAGTTCCTCCCCAGTCCCTGGCATCTCCTAGTCACCTACATGACTTTCAGGTTGTTTTGAGACAATCTTGGTATGTAGCCCTGACCGGCCTGGAAATTGTTACATAAATCAGGATGACCTCAAACTTACAGCAATCCTCCTGCCTCTGGTTCTCAAGTGCTGGGATCACAGTTATGTACCACCATGCCCAGCCTAACATTCAGTCTTTTAAATATTTGTTTATCATCATCATCATAATCATCATAATCTGTGAGAGAGAGAGAGAGAGAGAGAGAGAGAGAGAGAGAGAGAGTGTGTGTGTGTGTGTGTGTGTGTGTG